GGGGGCGCAAGGCTCTGGGCGCGCACCTGGTAAGCACAGCGCGGTTTCTCTTTCTCTCCGCTACCGAGTTACCAGGAATGCAGGATGCCGCCGGAGCCCCTCCCCCAGCGCGGGATGGAGCGAGCTGGCAAGGGGCGGGAGCTTGGGCTGGAGGGACCCCGAAGGGCAGGTGGCGGGCAGGTGGAGGGCTGGCGGAGCCAGGGACGCTAGGAGGTCCTGCAAGTTCAGAAAAGTCACCCTCCAAGGACGTGTACCGTGGGAATCGGACGTGAATTTTGACTCGGGAGCCTGGTCTGCCACGGTATTGCTCCAATAGGAGGTTTAAGAAGATCATTTCGTTTTTATTTGCATAAGAGAAGGATTTAAGTGGGCTGGTTTCCATAGAAAACGAACTAAAAAATTAGGGAGAGGAGAGAGAGAGAGAGAGAGAGAGAGAGAGAGAGAGAGAGATCTGAACCAAAAGAGGCATTTGCAATCCCTCTCTCCCTCTCTCTCCTTCCTCTCATGCCAATACATGTGCACAGAAGGCGTGAATTTAGCAAGGGAAAAGGCTTCTTTATCTTTGAGGTTATTAGGCGTTTGGGGGCTAATAAGAGCATTTGCTTGTGTTTAGTTCAAAGAGAAAGCAACAGAGGGACAAGGTTGGGTGTGAATACCACAGTTACATTTCTAAAATGACAATACCATGACATAGTATCAGGAAGAAACGGTTTTCAAGAACTGTGGGCCATTTTAGTGGGGCACACCTGAAACTCCGGATGTCTGAACTCAGGTCCAGGTGCTGCCAGTGAAGCCAGGGTGGCATTTTTATTTCTGGTTCCTTTATCGAACTTTGGCAGACGATGACAGAGACATAGAGAGAAAGAGAAGAAAAGGGAGCTGAAAAAATCAGTGAATGGTCTGTCTGTGGTAGGGGGAGAAAGAGCCTGGCAGCCAGGACTGGCATCACTGTGTTCCTCAGTCCTGCACTGGGCAGTCCTTGGGCTCTTTCTCCAGGGAAATGTGTGACCTTGAACAAGTCCCTTAATCTTAGTTTTTCCACCTGCAAAATGTAGAGGTTGTTCTGCATTTTGAGCCACTAAGGTCTCATGCAATAGTATCTATAACTGCACCTGAAGATTAAATTGATTGTGTTGAAGATCTATATACAAAAAAGGAAGAATACCCAAAGCATCTAGATAAAGGAAGCTTCAAGGTGTTCTCCTTCAAAGTATTAAAGACAGTTACAAGATCCTGGCTGTGCTTTTAGGGTCACATATCCTGAGAGGTCTGTGGAAATGAGTGAGAACAGTCAGTCTGATTGCAGCCAAAGGAACCTGGAGTGTTGAGAGCTGCTGGGAGAGGTTTGGATGCACAAAGGCTAAAGTCATATGTTATTTATTTTCACTAAGTTAGCAATTTAAAAGGGCAGCTAAGTGAAGCATAAGATTCTTTTAATTTGAGGATTTGGGAAATAATTTAGATTTAATTCTGATGAAAGAAAAATGGCATCCCAGTTTATAGGTTGGGCACTCAGGATGGCAAGAATGGCTTGAAGTAGTATATGAGTGTAAAGTGATCTGGATGAAAGGGTTAGGGAAAGAGAAGGGAATGGAAATTTCTCCCATTTCTATGCTCGAGAGATGATACTAGCACCTGCCATGTTCTTGGCACCTCTTCCACTTGTTTGAAGTAGGCATAGATACCTTTCCCTCTCAATATAGGATTGTGTTTTAGAATCTAGGGATTTTCACCATTCCCAAAGCTGAGGTGGTGAACATATGAACACTCACCCGTAACCCCCATGCAAGCATCTGGCTGAGGAGCTAGTCCACACATCCATTTCGCCCAGGAGCCTGTGTTCCTAAAGGAACTCACTGTGCCACTTGGTGGCACCAAAAAGTTGCACAAAGAACTCTGTTCTCTATAAATACAAACTACCACCCCTCCCTCCTCCGCTCTCTTCCCTTCTCCCCTTCCCCCCTTTTTCAGGAGCGGGAAGATTACTGCACACACCGCCCTCAGCTCGGCTGTTCTGCGAGCACTGAGTGCAGGGGATGAGCTTGAGATCATCTTGGGGTTGGGGGGAGTCCCGGATTGGAAAGGCCGGCTCAGCCCCCTTGATCCCGCGGCCCAACTTTCTGGGGGGCTAGCTAGACCGCGTCTCACTGCCCGCTGCGTGGCCAACAGGGGGGTAAGCTTGCTAAGTGTCTGTGTGCCCAAGTGTCCTGGACCAAAAGGATGTAGCAGCTGAGCAGCTTGCTGAGTAGCTTACAGTTTGGTTTTGGGGGAGGAGACGAGCACGGAGCGAGGGCTGCCAGAGCCGGTGAGGTTCCTATCTGCTCCATTTGCGGATGGCCTTTATTAAACCTGTTGGTAGAAAAGGCTTGAGCAAGGGGATAAAGACAGAAAAGCTGCAAGGATTCTGCATGCCTTCCGATCCGAGTTCTTGCTACCCAAGGCAAGGGGCGCCTGGTTTCAAACGCAAACTATACTCCCCCACATCATCCGACGGCTCGAAAATTGAGCAAAGCAAACATAGGAGGGGAAGAAAGAAAGATTTCTTCTTAATGCCGCTGCTTGCTGCAGGATGAGGGGGACAGCGGGTGGTGCTGAAAGCACAGCTCTTGCTCAGGCCAGGGTGCCTCTTTCTAAGCACCAGTCGGAGCCTTCCTACTCTTTCTTCTCCCATGCATGCATCTTTACCTTACCTTCAGAACCAAAGCCTACTAGCTACCCCAGGGCAGCAGCACGCAGAGGATGGAGCCCGCGGTACAGCGATTCGGTGGTGGGAACCCAGGGCAGGCCCCTCATTGAGCAGGTCTAAACTTGGGACCTCTGAAAGGGAAGTGATAGGTGCACCTGTCGGTATCTTCCACCTGGCGCCGTGGTTTCCATCTGCCCACATTTCCCTACAGAACAGGTATCATGAGGAAGTGAATTTAAAGACAGGATAACAAGTGCTTGTGCTTATTTAGGAACAATCTAGGTCCTGCTGCAGCTGAACACAAGTGTCCAGGCAGATAGATTCTCCATCACTTTACTTATTGAAACAAAATTGGTGCAAATCAGTGAGAAGACGGCTTCTCTCTTCTTCATTCCTTACATGGAATTTTATTGTATGAAATCCCCCACAACTGAGCTAGGGAAAATCTGGATTCCTAACATTGACTGCTGGTTACGTGGGAAGGCTAGGGCATGTCACCCTGGGTTCTATATTCCCTTCCTCCTGTGGTGCATAATTAAAGATTTTCAGAGGAAGCTTATGCATTATCTATCTGATTTGTGTGTGGTGGTCTGTGTGTGTGTGTGTGTGTGTGTGTGTGTGTGTGACTTTGGGAGTGATTAGGTATATTACCTCTTATTAGGTGTGTTCTGTGCTATTCCTTTCATGGAGCACAGGAAATTTTGTCTGTTAATTTCTCTGTTACTTCCACATAATTTCACATAAAAGAATATGTCTGTTATGGATTTGTTACCACTCTAAAGAATGATTGTTTTAGGAACTGAAAATACTGCTTTCTGTACTCATCAGTTTAGTAACATGCTTCCCACAAAGGCTGCAGCTTTCTGTGGTGTAAAGCTTTTCAGCACACTGGACAGATCCCTCAAAGTTTCTTAGGCAAGCGGTGAATGTTTTCTACAGTCATTTACAATTTTGCATGAAAGAATTACAATCTAGATATTTTAATCAAACCCACTAGAGGTTTGTGCTATCATATGGCAATGCTTTAGTTGTGGGCTATATGCTCACAAAATTTATGAAATGAAATATTAAGATTATTTTTCCAGGTGGGTTTGGTATTTGAAAAATCTAAGTACTTGACCAGATCTTCTTTTTACTGGCATAGACAGATATAAGCCTCTAGCATTAGTGAATTGTGCACATTTTAGACCTGAAGACAAACATACACATAAAAATGAAAATTTAACTCATAGATATCATGTGCACAAAGCACAGTTTGTTCCAACTTTGGGAATACTTGAGTGTGTACCATTTTTAGTTTTTCTCTGATTGACATTATTATGTACAATCATTTATCTCTAAACATGTTTATTTTATCACTAAAATGTTTTAATAATTTTATTTTTTTACAAAACACTTGAATATTTTATAGAAGTGTTACCCTTTGGTCCTTAAAAGAATATTCAGAACATTTTAGGTAAGAAAACTAAATTAAATGGAAATAAACAGAAAGTGATACTGTAAATTGAAAATGTGGCATAAAATTTATCATGAGAAATATTGTATTTATTCATGTAACCATACAAATTTTATCCCAGCCTTTCTATCCTCCTGGGATGAAGAAACAGACATATTATATGCCCTGCTTATATTGTTTAAATTTATATAGATGAATCAAGAATAAGCAAACTTTATAAAATAGAGAAGACTATGTTTTGATATGTACTAATGTATGTGACATATGCTTCAGTTAATTTAATTTCTTTGGAGTTTGGATATCTTGAAGGTTTATTACTATAAAGGAGGAATATTCTTCAATTTAATGAAATGTGTTATTTTTCATATTCAGAGAACTTTTAATCCTAGTCTCAAGGCATCATTCAGTTATTGTTTCAGTTATGGAACATAGAAGGCATGAGTCATGTTCATTCAAAAATTTTTTTAGTTCATATTTGTATAGCTCAGGAAAATAAAATTTTAATTTTGATTTTAAGTGTTTATTTATAAATCAAATTATGTCTTTTTGATTTTCCTTATCTCAGTTTATTAAAGGCATTTAAATAAAATAGTATGTCATAGGTTTGTTTTCTTTTCCTTTGTAGTCATTAAGAGGAGAAAAACTATATTTTACCATACCTAATATTATTTGAATTCTATGCACATTTGGTCATCCCTGCTAGAGCTATTTACTGAGCACAGTAGGTACGTGCTAATCACAACCTATAACACAAGGCAGTTTTTTTTTCTTTTCTGTTTTGAAAACAGAATTTTTTCTTCCACTGTCACAGAAAAAGAACTTATCCTTACCCTCTTTCTATCATACTAAGCTAACTTGAGTGTGCCCTATTTCTATCACACTAAGCCTTTACATAATGAGCTCATTGCACAAATCTAAATAACGTGACTGACTGCAGTGAAGAGTGTATCAGTATTATATATGACAATTAAACATATACAGACCTTTGGATATGAAGTTTCCTTGGTTTTTATGTTACTGAATTTAATTTTCTCAACAAAACTGTGGATTGAACTTTATTTAGTTTGTGTAAATTTAACAACAGAAAGCAAGACTAAGAGAGATTATATGATTTTCCCAGTATTCCACAGTATATCATATAACACAAAAGCTATTATATTTCAAGGATCATCTGATCCCAAAACTCTTACCTATTATATAAGTGGAAACTTAGATATATATCTTAATTTTTAAAAATTTTACTAATTTGAGTCACCAGAACTTTCTTATTCCACAAGTGAATGTTCAAATATTTATTTTTCTTGCATATCTAAGAATATTTAAAACTTATGCAAATATTTGGAGATGATCAGAAGTCAAAATGATACATAATTGCTGTCAGGTGTCTTCTCTTTTAGTCAAATTCTTCAAAAAGTTTAAAGGAAATATTTAATTGCAAAAAGTATATGTATTTCATGTAAATATGGTCTTATAAGGATTACAAAGAAATGAAATTCTCTGATTAATTTTACCATAATTTTGACTATAAAACATTGATTTTCAACTTTTGGGCAAAAAGTTTGAAGAAAAATGAAAAGATCATACAGTAGCACTAGTGGGCAATGTCATACCATTTTCTTTCATTTTATTTTGTAAACATACAGTAAAATATTTTTCTAGATATCAATTTGCCTTATATATCAAATGATAATAGAGTCCTCTAAGGAGACAAGTAAATAATATTTTTATTTATTTTAAAATGAACCAACAAAATGAAAAATTGAGATACATGTACACACTACTGTAGAAAATTAGTTTTGTTAATATCTTGCTAAAATTATAATGAACCCTGTACTTTATCTTAAGGGCAGCCTTTGAAATTCAAAAGTATATCATATGATATTGTCTTCATGTTCATTTATTGTAATTTGTAGATATTCCTAACTATGCTTTGTTAATATAAAGAAATTTCATCCTTGACTCTCACAGGTTAAATTGTGTTTTTCAAGTTGATTACAAGGTTGAAAATACAGAAACAAGTATTAAAATGAAGAAGGCAAGCCTATTCCAACCTACATTTCTTAGTATTATTCATAGCACTTCAGAAAAATGACTATATGGGACTAATGCATCCAGATGATTTCCTTTCAGTTGTACTCTTTTTCTGTTTTGATGATTATGATGACATTTTTAGGATGAGCTTTTATGTGAATCAGTGGATTTCAACTGGGGTTGAGTTTGACCTGAAGAGGACATTTCGCAATATTTGGAGACATATTTGGTTATCACAAGTAGAATGTGTTCCTGGTGTTCTTTTGTTTTTTTAGACAAAGAGGAGGGATACTGCTAAAAGTCTGCCATTGAACAGGGCAACAATTGTCCACAATAAGGAACTGTCTACTCCAAAATTTCATTAGTGCTATGGTTGAGAAATTCTGACATAATAAATGACAGAAAACAGTCACTTTTATTAATTTAACTTATTTGTATAGTTTCTGACTATAATCAATAATCATTACATACATAAAAATTCAACGGAAAGTAGAATCTACAAAATATTATGAAGTCAACATATAAAGTTTAAATTACCCACTCATCTTGTGCTTTGGAAGGCATTATTATCTGTTTATATTTAGTGTGGAGAAAAGAGCCAGAGATAGCTAGTTAATGTACCATCTCTGCTATTTTGTATAGGTATGAGATTTTAGTAAAATATCTCTAAACCTCAGTGTTTAGAGGTGTTAAAACATCACAATAATCCTACCTACCTTAGAGGTGGTTATAAGGCTTACAGTACATAATGCTTATACACTATTTAGCAAAAAGTAAGTATCCAATAAATATTAACTACTAATAAGTAAGTCATAATCAAGTTATAGAAATATAAAACCACATTTCACACACCAGGTAATAGATACTTTAATAGGAGAAATAATATTTTACAGTCTTTAAAGGTATGTCATAAATAATAAGAAAGAAGCTGCAGGGTAAGAAAATGGGTAGAACTCAAAAATCCCTACTTGATAATTATATTGACACTAGTTAAAATGGT